CACCTCCCGGGGACCGCCCTGCTACCTCCAATCCTGCTTCTGCCGCTTGCCCTCCCCGATCTCTGCCGGACAGCCCCGCTGCCCCCAACCCTGCTTCCCGCCGGCTGGTTTCCCCCCCACACCCCTCTCCTCCCAGCCCGCCCCTCCCCACTCTCATCCCGGCAGACATGCTGAGGCCCGGTTTTTTTTTTTTTTTTTTCCGTGGCCCGGTAGCGGGCTGCAGCCCATAGTTTGGGAAAAGCTGCTGTAGAGGAAACTTAAAGATGTAGGTTAGTCTACAATTTTCTAAGTTGATAGTAATGATATAACGACATGCACACGAATATATTTGGAAGGCCAACCTCAGTGTCTAGCTTGCCATTTTATGTTTCTTCATCACAATGGTACCTGAGCTACCACAGAGAAGGCTAGTTGTGTTTTGTGATAGCATTGTGAAAAGGAATTTTGTTTGTGGTGTTTCTCCCTTTTTAAATAACGGTTCTTACTAATTTTACTTGAAGCATAAATAATCAAGATGTCATGTGATACTGGTGGTTGAGTATAATTAAATGGATATGTTACATTTTAAAATCTCTGTTTTCATGATTCTTGCCTTCCAATAGATTTATTCATGGGTTACTTATGAAAGTTATACTGACTGCAGAAAGTGTGTGGTAGGCATGCCAAAAAAACACAAAACCCCAAAAACCCAAACCCACAATATTTGATCAGGTAACTGAACATGGGAAGGTGGGCCTTAGTTTGAAAGAAGACTTCACACAGTTTCTATAGCCCTGGTTTTCCCCTTCACTTTAGTAGTAATTAACATTTTATATGAGATCTTGTATTCCAAGCTGCTTCAAAGTATGTACCGTTAGTAAGGAACATACTTTAGATTGGAAAGCAGCAGCAGGTGAGCAAATCGTGCACAGCACGCTTACCTCAGTTTCCCCTTCACATACTGATTAAACTCTGCTCTCGTAGGAAAAGGTGTCCATGTGATCTTTAGTGAATATATTGAGACCTGTTTTTTTTTAATCATCTTATTTGAATTACACACACCATAGGATAGTATGTTAGTAATTTATCTCCTTTGCGAGGGCTGAGAGAGTCTTGCTGAGATTTTAAACTGTGTCTTCAGGTTATCTAGTTAACTTCCAAAGGCTTCCTTTTTTGGGGATAATTGAATTGGCTCTTTTATATACCATTTCTGTGAAACTACTAATGCCTTAAATTGTAATAGCCTGACTTATGCTAATGTGTGTCATTTTTTTCCCTCCACCTAAAGCTACCCCGCTGCTGCTGTATGCAAACCGGCGTGATCTGCGATTGGTGGATGCTGCAAATGGAAAAGAGAACGCTACAGTTGTAGTGGGTGGTTTGGAAGATGCAGCTGCAGTGGACTTTGTGTTTGTCCAGGGGTTGATATATTGGAGTGATGTGAGCGAAGAAGCTATTAAACGAACAGAATTTAACAGAACTGGGAGTGTACAGAATGTGGTCATTTCTGGGCTTTTGTCACCTGATGGGTTGGCATGCGATTGGCTGGGAGAGAAACTATACTGGACGGATTCTGAAACAAATCGGATTGAGGTTTCCAATTTAGACGGATCTTTGAGAAAAGTTTTATTTTGGCAAGACTTGGATCAGCCCAGAGCAATAGCCTTAGATCCTGCAAGAGGGTAAGTCTTTGGTTTTGGGGGGTGTGTGGTTTTTTAAAAAATTTTGGCATGTCCTGTTCATCAGTTATTGAAATTCATTTAACAATGTACTTTTTGAAGATATCTGCATGTTTCTAGTTATGCTGTGACCTTTAAATATGGTACTGCCCTAAACCAGTTTGCATACCAGATGATGGTCTAGGGTTTCTTGCACTTGCTGTGAGATGTGAAATAATTGGCAGTATTGCTGATTTGTTTTTTGTGTATGTGTAAGGGGGCTTGTTGAACATCAGATGTGCAAGCAAACTATGTGAGAAGAAACTAGTCTTTTTGTAATAGCAGTGCAGGGGATGCTAATTCACTCGTCTCTTAATATGTGAAAACAGATGCAGTTTTGTTTGTAAAGCCAACATCTGCCTATGGAGCTGCTGTTCTCTGAATAACTTTTTTTTTTTTTGGTGTTTGCTCAGCATTTCTATTATGATCTAGTGTAAATGTTGTACTACATGAGGAAAAAACAAACTAATAATGTTCAGGAAGAGGTTTCAGCCCTCAGTTAGAAAATACATTTATTACAAGCATCTGACCCTAGTGCTTTTGGGAAATTCTGTTATAATAAAAACAATGATACTGTACAACTGGTTTAGGGTAGGCATAGTATAAGCTTTCTTCTCCTTAACTCTGATTTCAAGGTCTGGTAGTGGAACTTAGTTGTGACTTGCAGTACTCTCTGGTTATTCTCTTTTGAGGGCCTCTCCTAAATGGCTGCTATCAAGCATGCTAAATTCAGTGACAGGTTTGGGATGTACAGCACCTTTAGGACCCAGGGGGTGCCGGATTATCAGATATGCCGGACTATCGGAAGGGGGGGCTATGAGGCGTCGGGGGTGGGGAGGATGCTGTTTCAGCAGCTGCTGAATCAGGGACGCCTGCAGCAGAGCAGCTGGAGTGCTGCCAGGTTGGTCCAGTAGCGCCGACCCTTGGCGCTGCGGGCGTCGCACCCAACCCGACCAGCCCCCCAGCTGCTCTCGGGGACACCTGGGGCAGAGCAGCTGTGGGGGCTGCCGGGTTGGTCCCTCAGCGCCGAGGGGCAGCGCTACGGGACCTATCTGGCGGCACTCCAGCTGCTCTGCCTTCAGCTTCTCTGATTGAGCAGCTAAATTGGGGAAGCTGGGGGCAGAGCAGCTCCAATGGTCCGGCTGCCCGGAGCACTTCCGGGTTCCTGATAGTGCCGGACCATTAGATGCCGGACCAATGGAGTTTTACTGTAGATGAATATCTACTGAAGTTTAGGACAAGACCATGAAATGCATGGTGGCTTGTGATGTTCTTTTTAATGCTGATGGTCTCCAGAAGGGAAAGACTGGTGCAGTAACCTAGTGGCTCACTTTACACCAACATTTGTTTTCTTAAAAATTGAATATAGTCCACAGTGCAGAGTAGCTTACAAATAAAGTGTGTTTTAATTTAATTTGATTGAGCAAGAAAGTTCACCTGTATCTGCAATAGTAAGACAACTGTCAGAGAGGAGAGTGCTTTTGTTTTATTATACTGGTCATAAGTCAAAATTTTTCTCCTGATCATTAAGCACAAGGATGGAAACATGAAAAGTATGAAAATTATTTTTTCTGTTTCAGTAACACTTCTTTATTAGGGATGTTAACAATTAAGTAATAGGGTAACAATATGACCATTGAAAATCTCAGCAATTACTCGGTTATCTGTGCTGTGGGCGCTGCAGTATAAAGCTTAGCTTAGCTTTATACTGTAGAGCCCATAGCAAAGCCTCCCTGGAAATGGGACTGCCAGCCCCCTGCCTACTCCACTACTGGGGAGGAGGCTTCACTGTCAGCTTTGCTGCTGCAATGAAGCCTCTTCCCCAGGAGCGGAGTGGGCAGCCCTTGTCTGCCCAGCTCCTGGGGAGGAGGCTTCGCTGAGTGTAACCAGCACGGTTAACCAATAAGCATCCACTTATCAAGTAAATAGTCGGTTATACGCAAACATCCCTGTTATTGATGGCTGCATAGATAGATGTGTGCTGTCTGGGAGTTTTATATTGGTGCCCATTGGCTCTGTGTGGAACCTACAATGAAGCAGCCTAATAGTAAAAACTAGAACTTGAGAAACAAACCCTGTCACTCTTCTTATGCTCAGTTGTTCCTTATTTCAGTTTTATAAAGAAAAGTGGCTTGGCAACTAAATAAGATTTAATGAGAAAATATAGTGACCATTTTCAGAAAAGTCTAATCTAAAAGGGATGTAAAATCCTGCTAAAAATGTTAACCAGTTAAACTATATGTTTAATCAGTCTGCGGTGCAGTGGGCCCAGCCTGGCCAAATATAGCCCCCTGGGTGGGGGGGTCTGCTCAGGACAGGCTAGGTTCTGGTTAGCCGGTTACCAGGATAAGCTTGCCAATAAGGCAGTGCTTACTGGATAACCAGCTACCCCTCTACATCATTAATCTATCTAGTATAAAATAAGGATGTTAAAGACTAGTCAACTATCCGATACGCAGATAGTCAACTAGTCGATTTCTCCCCCCCGCCCCTTGCTGCCTCAATCAGATAGTGGCAGCAAAATGGGGAGGGAGAAGGAGGGAAGAGGTTACATCAAGGGCAGTGCCGCAGCTGATCCCAGGCTCCGTGCCACATTTCTGTGGAACCCAGGATCAGCTGACACTGGGTTCCGCGTGGAATTTCAAATGGCTAGTGCAACATGGAGCCTGGGGTCAGCGGGGGACTCAAAGTCCCCCTCTGACCTCAGCCTCCATGAGTTCGCTTTGGCTTTGAAATGCACAAGAACCCCCATTGGAGACTCGTGTACATTTCAAAGCAGGCACGCCATGTGCAGTCCAGAGTCAGCAGGACTTCCCGCTGGTCCCAGGCTGCACTCAGTGTTCCGCATTGCTCCTTTGAAATGTACAAGAGCCCTTGCTGGGGCTCTTCTACAAAGGAGGAATGCAGAAGTGATTATTGAGGAGTCGATGGAAATTCCATTGACTACTTGACTAGTAAATTAACCACTATTTAACATCTTTAGTATAAAGTGGCATGTGTAAGAAGTCCCCGATGTTAGCTGAGTTGGTTGTGAAAACCTTTAAAAGGTGTTGATACATTTGATGTAGAAATACAAAAGTACTGAATTGAATGTGTGTGCACCATTAAAGCAGTTTAATTTTATTTAGATGTTGCATCATGACTTCTTGGCAGTGCCCCATTAAATTGTAACATGACTTTTGAGTTTTCTAACCACAGTTTTCAAAACAAATTTCCCTTATCCCCAGTTGCACTAGTTTTTCAGGCCTTCGAGAACTTTGGAATGGCTCTCGTATTGTTGTCAGCCAGGAAGTTGCCCCAAACAGTGTTGGCCAATCTGCGGAATGGAATGCTCTCATAGGGAATGTTGCTCTAGTGGAGATAGTGGGAAAATAAATGGATGGGGTAATCATCACTATCACTGCCAAAACCTCCTAGCTTTATGTATCATTATTGGTAGATTATGCATGGGGAACCAAGTATAATTTTTTTTTTTGGTTGGCATTTTATATACAGAAAGCCAGCGTAACTTAAAATGCATAGAGGTATTTCTAGCCAACTGTGTAGACATATGGCCTAAGCTTCAGGTTTTAATTTTCTGCGCTGCAGTTGATTATTTGACAGTTATTTTCCTGGCAGTGGAATAAACTCTGTATGTGTGGTTCAGTGGGAGGGGAAAGGGATGCTATAGTCAATTGAAGTCACTGAGAGTTTTCATTACTGTTTTAGAAGACGGTTCAACCAAGTCCCAATCCCCTTTTTCGGGACTGTTTTGTCAACCTACAACTGAAGCTGTTCTTAATAGTGGTGCAGCTGATGAAAATGCATAAACAGACATTTTCTACAGACAGCTTTATTTATTAGTTTTATGCAAAAAGAAAAAAATCAATGTTAAAGAGTTGGTGATAAAGTCTCGAGGAATGTGCTACCAAGACTAACTAGTTTTTCTCACGTCTGGGTATACTGTGAAGTGAAAAGGAATTTTAAAAGTCTGCTGGAAGGTCTAACTAATGTCCTACATTTCAGTGGTATATTTTTAATTTAGCTAACTCCAGAGTTAAAATAATTGCTAGTAAAAACTCAAGTAAAATTTTATAATCAGTTCACATTGTAATAATTTTCATTTACTGGGTGACATCGCACAGAGTAGTGTACTGTTTTTCATGACAGTGTAGGCTGATTTCCCGATATGTGATGGAGGTAGTTCTTAAGTTTAAACCTTCTCTAAAGAAATGGAATGATTTTTCTCATGCTTCAATTTACATATCATACTCTTCTAGTTATTACATGTCTCTTTTTATTGACCCATATTGTTTGACTACAGTGTCAGTTGCTACACGTGTTATAGATCAGATGCCAGTGTGGAATTGGTGGCATTGACACACACAATCCAGTATTTATTCATTTTAATTAAAAATTGTAATAGCACATTGTAAAACTCATTTGAAAAAGTCTCAACCTGATTTAAATCAGTGATGTATTTCAAAATTGAGGGATTTAAATCAATTATTTAAATCATAGTGAATTGGTTATTGGAATCATTCTCTTGCAGAGAAAAGGGCTGTATAAATGTAGTAAGATATCAATGAACAGAGTTCAGAAGTTGGTTCAGTAGAAGATAGTACCTCACCCAACTTGTCTCTCTTGTCCTGGGACCAACACAGCAACACCAGCATTGCCATTTCAATGTAATGCTTGCTCAAGAAGTTAGAACTAAACATGACTGTAGGAGTGATTTTTAGTATGCAGTTTTTGTATGCCATTTGAGGCATTGTATGAGGCTTGTAATTGCTTTAATTAGTCTAATTTTTCTAGTGGAGACTTGGCATACCTATACATTTTTACACACTGTCACCTCAGTGACAGGAGCAAAGTGACTATTGTAAGAAGATACAAGTAAAAAAAAAAAAGTGGATGAAGAATTCCTTTTTCTGACTTAAATCCACAACCAAAGTAGTGGAGTAAATTATCTAATTTGGAAAAAT